ATGGGGTCACGAAACGTTGTACTGGGTGGGTGAAACGCAGGGAGGAGGGGGAGGAGGGCCACGAAACGCAGTACTGGGTGTGCGGGACGCTTGCGGACGGTGGAGGAGTAGGGGGAAGAGGAGGAGAGAAGGAGAACGCGGGGACTGTCTCTTCAAAACGAGGACCCAACACCACACTATGGTTGGGAACTAAAACGTTTAGGTCCTATCCCATGTGGCTTCGCAGAAACGCCACAGGGCAACGTATAATGTAGAATTATCTGGGCGGCAGGTGCTGAAACAAATCTCTATGCATGTACATATACGTATACATATACAAATGCATTCACTGATACATACATATATATATGTATACGTTTACGTATACGTATACATATACATATACATAAACCTATGCCTGTAAATATGCATATGCAAATACGCATACATAGACATGTACATGCACAGTTGCATGCACATATGCATATACCTATATACATACACAAACACATACACCTATATATATATATATATATATATATATATATGTGTGTACACAAACAAATCCATACACGTATACAAGTGCATGTACACATGCATAGGCATATATACATATATATACACACTTAAACAAATACATACACATATCCATACACGTATACATATACAGCTACGCATACAACTACACATACATATATATATATACATACGTGCATGTACACATAACTATACATACATGTTACGTATACTTATACATATACATATGTGCATGCAAGTACATATACCTATACATATACCTAAACATGTACATATACATATACACACTGTGTTTGGGCCGCCATCTAAAGTGGTGGGCAGACAGAACATAGTCTAGTGGATATGTTCCTGGCCCTGACAGAAGACCCGCTGGAAATCCCCCCTCGGTTTTCCCTCGAAGCATCTGGCAGGCACGGGAGTAGCGCAAAGCTCCTTTGGACGCCATCCCTCCCGCAGCCAGAGGCCGCCGGATGCACTCGCTCGAGAGCCTGCGGAGGTCCTGGGCCCGCGTCATCCGCGGGATGAGGCGGGCAGCGCCACGCCGCGGCCGGAGGGGCGACCGATGCCACGCAGGAGGCATCGCCACGCGTGGTCGTGCCGATCGAACCGCGGACAACCCTGCGCTCCCCGCGGCGCCCGCGCCGGACGCTGGAGTCCCCAACAGTTACGATACATCTCCCCGCGGCTCTCGACGTCCCGAGCTCTGATGGGCAGGTTCCCCCGGGCGCCAGGGCTCCCAGGGGCTGCCAGGGGATCCCCGAGCTCCTCGGAGATGACAGGAGGTGTCCCGCCGCCCACGAGGGCACCGAGCGTCCGAGATGCATCCAGGACGTTCTCCAAGGCTCTGCGGGGCGTTCCCCCTGCCCACGCCGCCCCGTCGTGGGCTCTGAGAGCCGCGCCCCCCGAGCGTCTGGTGGGGAAGCGGAGCAGGACCCCCCCAAAAACCTGACTGCGAGGGGGAGGAGGGAAGGGGAGGGGGAGACTTCCACTTCGCACAGGCGGCGGCCGACACCCGGGAAGTCCAGCGACGCACCCCCGCCAGCGCAAGCGGGAGGAAGTCAGAGGGGGCTCCCGCTTAGAGACCCCGGGGGGTGCACAGGGCAGCGTTCGGTGCAAACCATTGCCACGGACGCGCACACGTCTTTTCCACGACCCGCGACCTCTGCGGCGAAATCTCACCTTCCACGCCTGCCAATCGCTGCCCTGACGAGCGCGCCAGGCTGAATCTGGCCACAGCGACAAGGACTTCCCCCCTTGGCGACGGAGAGCGAAGCTGAGAACGTTACCAGTGCTTCGGATCACGACGAGTGAACAATCGCAAGTACTACTACGACTACTACTATTACTACCACCACTCCTTCCGCCCGCGCGACTACGACTACTACTACTACTACTACTACTACTACTACTACTACTACTACTACTACTACTACTACTACTACTACTACTACTACTACTACTACTACTACTACTACTACTACTACTACTACTACTACTACTACTACTACTACTACTACTACTACTACTACTACTACTACTACTACTACTACTACTACTACTACTACTACTACTACTACTACTACTACTACTACTACTACTACTACTACTACTACTACTACTACTACTACTACTACTACTACTACTACTACTACTACTACTACTACTACTACTACTACTACTACTACTACTACTACTACTAACTACTACTACTACTACTACTACTACTACTACTACGACTACTACTACTACTACTACTACTACTACTACTACTACTACTACTACTACTACTACTACTACTACTACTACTACTACTACTACTACGGCTACTCCTACGACTACGACGACGACTACTACGACCAGTCCGTCTACCATTGTTGTTCCGACTACTACTACTTCTACGACTACTACTATTACTACTACTACTAGTATTACCACTACTAGTACTATCATTACTACTGCTACTACTACTACTACCACTACTAGTACCACTACGACGACGACTACTACTACTACTACTACTACTACTACTACTGCTACTACTACTACTATTACTACTACTACTACTACTAGCACTGCTACTACTATTACTACAACTTCGTCTACTACTCTTACTACTACTACTACTCTGATACTACTACTAGTACTACTATTACTACTACTAGTACTACTACTACTATTACTACTACTACTACTACTACTACTACTACTACTGCTACTACGGTTATACTACTACCTCTACTTCTACTACTACTACTACTACTACTACTACTACTACGACTACTACTACTACTACTACTACTACTACTACTACTACGACGACTGTTACGATTGTTACTACTACTGCTACTACTACTATTGCTACTGCTACTACTACGACGACTACTACTACTACTACTGCGACTACTACTACTAATCTAGTACTACTATTCCGACTACTACTACTACTACGACCACTATTACTACGACTACTACTACTACTACTACTATTTCTACTACTACTTTTACTACTACCACGACTCCGATTACTACTTTAAGTATTACGATTGCTAGTACTACTATTCCGGCTACTAAGACGACAACGACGATTATTACTACTAGTACTACTCTACTACTACTACTACTACTACTACTACTACTACTACTACTAGGGCTGACCGGGGGATGGTGGCCGGGCAGTTCGTCCGTGAGACGACTTAAGGGTGGTGATGGAGGTTTCGCGTTTCCAACGGCTTTAACAACAAAAAAAGAGATTGTGGGTGTGGGTGTCGGTGTGGGTGTGGGTGTGGGTGTGCGTTTCATGAGAGATGTCTGATGCTGTATGATGATGTATGATGATGTATGATGATGTATGGTGATGTATGATGATGTATGCTGCCGTATAATGATATATGATGATGTATGCTGATGTATGATGATGTATGAAAATGTATAATGATGTATGGTGATGTATGATGGTTGATGTATGGTGTTTGATTGTGTAGGATGTATGGTGGTTCTTGGTGTACGATGTTTGGTGGTTGATGTTGAATGGGGTTTGATGTTTGATGTTTGATGTCTGATGATAAATGATGTTGAATGATGTTTGGTGTTTGATTATGATGTTTCATGGTGTTTGGTGTTTGGTGTATGATGTTTGATGTTTGATAATGTATGATGTATGTTGGATGATGTGTGAGGTGTGATGATTGATGTTTGTTGATGTTTGATGATTGTTGATGTTTTATGTTTAATGATGGTTGGTGTTTGATGTGCGATGTTTGATGTTTGGTGTTTGATGATTCATGATGGTTGATGTTTCATGTTCGATGTTGAATGGTGTATGATGTTTGGTGTTTGATGATGTATGATGTTTGATGTTTGATGATGAATGAGGTTTGATTTATGATGATGTATGATGTTTGATGTTTGATGATGTTTGATGGTTGGTTATGTATGGTGTTTGATGTGTGATGCATGATGGTTGGTGATGTTTGATGTTTGATGGTTGCTGTATGATGTTTGATGGTGTGTTTTTTTTTCAAGAACGCGTTCAACGTGAGTACAAATAAGGTGTCGGGAAAGGCAAAAGGTGGTCGAGTGCTGCTCTGCGCAAGGCTGTGGGCAGAAGTCTGAGGGTCCTCCTAGGGGCCTCAATTAATTGAAGCTGTAGATGCATCCTCACACCGGCGGTCAGCTCCCTGGGGTGGCCCTCACCCCAGCCAGCTCTGCGAGGGTCGGGACACCACCCGGGGCTGCCGTGGTGTTCTGGCCCTCATCCGCCGCCTCTTGGTTGAATGCTGCGATCACTCCTGAGGGCCTGGCTCCACTGGCGCCGAATCGGGAGACTGTCGGTCGGAGCCCGTCCATCAGCACAAGGAGGTCATGGACCTGGGACTCCTCTGCAATGTACTCCACATCAGCGAAGTCCTCCCACCGCGTGCCCTTCTTGTTCACGTACTTAAAGACGGCTGCGCCGGGGGCGCCCAGGTGCTTGGTCTGCGTGTACTCATGCCCGGGGGTCTTGGCGAACCCGCTGAAAGGGAAGAGCCCAGGGTCAAGAACCGTGGAGTGGTCTCGCATGGCCAGCCGCATGCGGCGGGCGATCACGGCTCCTTCTGGTGTCTCAAAGATGGCAGGGAACAAGAGTGTGCCAACCTCAATCAGCTGCTGCAAGTGGGTCCGATGTGCATAGCGAAGGAGCAACGCCGTCTTGGAGGCGAAGCTGGACTCAAACTGGTTCGTTGACGCCAGCTTCTCTCGCAGGTACCGGAGGCCGATGGTCTGCAACATCGCGCCTTTGTCCATCATAGAAGTCACCTGGTTCGCCTGCCGGGGATAGGCGGGCAGAGCGAAGACTGAGTCCACCGGAGCCATTGCGGTCCCACAGATGGTTGCATTGTTGAAGCTCCTCTTGTTCATGTAATCCTGCGCCTTCACAAGGCGGGTCCCAGACAGGTTGCCCACATTCTTCCCGAGGACATTCACAAGCATGTTGGCGACAACTGCGAGCTCCGTCCCGAGGGTCAACGGGAGGGTCACGGACTTCACCATCGTGAAGAACTTCCCAGCGCTGATGGCAGTTGGCGGGACATCGTGAGCCAGCAGGATGTACGAGCAGTAGAGCATGGCCTGTACGAAAGAGGTCTCCTCCTCACCTGCGAGGGTCCCACTAGGGTACTGCTGCTCCATGGCCTCTCTGGCCTCCATGAAGAGCTCATCGATCCTGTCCGCGTCCGCACTGGGGTCCAGGTCCGAGATGTCAGGGACATCCTCCGCATCATCCGTGGGGGACAGGCTGGTCACGGATCCCGTGGATACCACGGCGAGCGCCTCCGAGGGCCCCCCCACTCCCTGGGGGATGGAGGGGGCGACAGGCACGCCCTCTCCCTGAGCACCGGAGGCGTCAGTGCCTGCTCCTGTGGCTGCCTGCTTGCCCTTGAACGGATTTGCCCCCTTGAATGCCGCCAGGCTGTGGAGTGCCGCCGCAGTCTTCCCGGGCCCGTTGATCTGTGCAAGCATGGTCAGGCTGACCATCTTGGATCCGCGCCACACCGTGCCGAGGTCAGCGTCGACCAGGGCTGCATGGGCCTCGGCGATGGGGGTGTCAGAGCCCTCACTGAAGAGTGCCTCAAGTTTGCCAACACTCGGAGGAGGCGGGAAGGCCAGCGCCGAGATCTGATACCCGTGGTGTCCCGACACAGCCGCCGCCACCTGCCCAGGGTCTGTGGAGGTTGCAGCCAGGATAGCGACCACTGAGGCCTGTGCTCCGAGGGAGAGACGGGCCCGGTTCGAGTCCCTTGTCATGCGCACTCGTGGGACGTCACCAAGGTTCAGGATGACCGCAGAGCAGGAAAAAATGGCCTTGCGAGCCGTTGAGTTGACCCCCTCTGTCGTGGTCATAACGGCAAGCTTGTACTGGAGGTTGTTCGCAACCGTGGTGCTGGAGGGAGCATCCAAAGCGGGAGTGAGAAAGTCAACAATCAGATCATGGCTTGCGTTGTGAAATCCCTTCTCTTCCTCCTGCGACAAAGGGATCATGGTCGTTGCTGCGTGGTTCGTGATCGCTCTGGTCCCCATTGCTGCCAAGGCGTTGTCCACCGACACATGAAGCGGGGTTGAGATGTCGAAGCCTGCCGCACGGAGGTTTGCAAGGAAAGCCTCTGAGTTGACAACGGGAGGGTCGATCCTGGTGTTTCTGCCGCCCACGCTGCCCTGGCGCGATGCCACCCCGGCGCCTCGCATTGTGGAGGTCTCTGAGAGCTGCCCAGGGACCAGCTAGGGTCCAGGATCCACACCTGTGGCTCTCTCGTCGCTCTCTCACCTGGAGGTGAGCAGTCTGATGCTTCCGCAGGGGCTAGCGTCGAGCTTTGCACTCCTTGATGGTGTGCGATGTAGTACGATGCATGATGTT